ACTGACAGAGGAGCGGTCGGATGAATTCCGCCCTCAGCCGGCTGGTGAGCATACGGATCTTGTACTAGACGACTCGCGTCCTGACCGAATAGTCAAGGTTGGGACGACTGCTCTTAAAATTCTGGGTGAAGACTTTCACTAACTTTTGAAGGAATACAAAGACATCTTTGCATTCGAGGTTCATGAAATGCCAGGCATCGGTCCTGACCTGGCGGTACATAAACTGGCTGTGGATCCGAAAAAGAAGCCGGTCAGGCAAAAGAAGCGAAACCATGGCAAAGAGAGGAGTCAGGCGGCAGCCGCCGAAGTTAAAAATCTACTTAATGCAGGGTTCATTCGGCAATGTTACTTCCCAGACTGGGTTGCAAATGTTGTACTTGTCAAGAAGTCGAATGGTACCTGGCGAATGTGTGTGGACTACACAGATTTGAACAAGGCGTGCCCTAAAGATAGCTATCCTCTGCCCAAAATTGACAGTCTGGTCGACTCAACAGCCGGCCATGCTTTAATGAGATTTATGGACGCCTACTCTGGCTTCCATCAGATTCCTTTGTGGAAGAAAGATCAAGAGAAGACGGCCTTCGTCACTGATCAAGGGCTATATTGCTACACGGTCATGCCGTTTGGTTTGAAAAATTCCCCGGCCACCTTCCAAAGAATGATAAATACGGTTTTCTTTGACCAAATTGGGAGGAATGTCGAGGCATACATCGATGATATGATTGTAAAGTCCAAGCTTCAGACAAACCATCTGGCGGACCTCCAAGAAACATTCACCACACTCAGGCGGCACCATGTCATGCTCAATACCAAGAAATGTGTTTTTGGGGTTGAGTCTGGGAAGTTTCTCGGATTCCTCATCAATCAGAGAGGGATAGAGGTGAACCCTGAGAAAGTACAGGCGATCATTGACATGCAGTCGCCTCGCACGGTCTGAGAGGTTCAGAAGTTAACAGGTTGTCTGGCGGCTTTGGGAAGATTTCTCAGTCGGTCAGGCGACAAGTGCCTTTACTTTTTCCAAGCAATAAAGAAGAAGGCAAGGTTTGAATGGGGGCTGGATGCTAAGGCGGCCTTCCAAAAACTAAAAGTTCACTTGCATTCCTTTCCAAGGCTAGTCAATCCCTTGCCCAAAGAAGTACTTTACACGTATCAGGCAGTATCTGACCATGCTCTAAGTGTCGTCCTCCTTCTTGAAACAGACGGCTGCCAGCTCCCGGTCTACTTTGTTAGTCACGTGTTGAAAAATGCCGAGTTGAGGTATCCCTTAGTGGAGAAGTTCGGTCTTGCTCTCTTCATGGCCGTTAAAAAATTAAAGCCCTATTTCTTGGCGCATGCAGTCGTTGTGTATTCAGATCAACCGATCAAGCGGCCACTGACAACCATGGAATCGTCAAGCCGGATGATCAAATGGGCAATAGAAATTCAGAGCCTCGAAATCACATTCGAGCCCAGGAAACAAGTAAAGGGGCAAGATTTTGCTGACTTTATTGTAGAAATGACTCGTCCCTCTGATTCTCAAGTTCCAGACCAAGTCTGGAAGGTCTATGTGGACGGGAGCTCCACCTTAAATGGTTGCGGAGCAGGCGTCATATGTCAGTCGCCAGAAGGCGACAGGTATGAGTATGCTCTACGTTTCAACTTTCAAGCCTCAAACAATGAGGCAGAATATGAAGCTTTGCTAGCCGGAATCCGCATGTGCAAGGCGGCTGGGGCAAGAAAGATAGACGCCTGTTCTGATTCACAATTGATAGTAAGTCAGTATAATGGCGAATACGAAGCAACTCATCCGGCTATGATCAAGTAATTACATGCGGTACGATAAGCAGTCGATTCCCTTGAAGATTTTCATCTGACTCAAGTACCAAGATCTGAAAACAACCAGGCAAATGCTCTTTCAAAGTTAGCATCCTCGGCCTCCTGTGATACTCTAAGAACCGTCTTCTGGGAGGTTATGGAGAGAAGAAGTATTGAGGAAGACCCAATTGGAATTCTAGATCGAAGTTCAACTTGGATGGATCCAATCAGGGCATACTTAACAGAGGGCACCTTGCCGGATGATCATCACCAGGCGACCACACTGAAAAAGCGAGCGTCCAGTTTTGAAATGATAAAGGGAGAACTTCACAAGAGAGGGTACCTCCAACCCTTCTTGAAGTGTGTTACTCCAAAAAAAGGACGAGATGTTTTAGAAGATCTTCACTCTGGATATTACGCTTCCCATGTAGGTGGCAGGTCGCTTGCCCAACGAGCAAGGCGGCATGGTTACTTTTGGCCTACTTTAGAAGCAGATGCAATGGAGATGGTGAAAAAATGTGACAAGTGTCAAAGGTTTGGCAAATTAATTCACCGTCCGGCTACTGATCTCACTGCTATCCATAGTCCACTACCGTTTGCTAAGTGGGGCATGGATATCCTGGGTCCCTATACGCCTGCTACAGGCGGCAGGAAGTACATACTTGTTGCAGTCGACTACTTTACTAAATGGGTAGAGGCAGAGGCTGTCAAGGGAATCAAGACGAAGGATGTGATTTCATTCATCTGGAAAAATATCATCACTCGGTTTAGGGTGCCCATGTCTATGGTTTTTGATAATGGTCCCCAATTTGAGCACCTGTTCTCAAAAACTGGCTGGGAGGCATCTCGCACTGCTTTGCATCAGTCGGCCGTCCTCAAGCAAACGGCCAAGTAGAAGCTTTCAATAAAATCATTTCGGACGGTCTTAAGAAGAAGATTGAACGAGCAGGCGGCCTATGGGCAGATGAACTACCACATGTTCTCTGGGCCAGTAGGATGACTGAAAAAGGGTCGACTAGAGAGACTCCATTCCTCCTAACCTTTGGTACAGAAGCTGTTCTTCCAATTGAACATTATGAGTCAACTCTTCGAATAATGCTGTATGACGAAGAGGCGAACTAGGAGTCCATGCGCCTGGCTTTGGACTCACTTCCAAAAAAAAAGGGGGCAATGCAGCCCTACGCCATGAAATTTACCGCCTGAGAATGACAAGATCATATAACAAAAGAGTACATAGGCGTCCACTCAAAGTAGGGGACTTTGTGCTAAGAAAAATGGAAGAAGTCGGTAGGGCTAATGAGTCAGGGAAACTAACTCCCAACTGGGAAGGACCCTACCGAATTTATGAAGAGGTTCGAGACGGTACCTACCGCCTAGAAACCCCAGATGGTCAACCCTTGCCTCGAACCTGGAATGTAGATAATCTCAAAAAGTATTATTTTTCAATGATGTAAATAGCCGAGTGCTACTAATAAAAGTTTGCTATTTTACTTCATTTATTTTGTACTTGGAGGGGCACGCCTACTAGTAAAACAGTCGGCTACTCTCCATACTTTGTAAATACGCATTCAATAAAGAGCGGCATGCCGCTTGTTCTATATAACCGGCTAATCTCCCATACTTAGTTCACCTAGAACTACCTACGGTCCATGGCCGAAAGGATCAGACCAGGCGCCTAGCCAACTGATCCAACTTTTAAAACTAATCCGATCTATCCCAACATCATAGCAGGCGTTCGGCGGCATCCATTCGGATGAAATTCGTCGCAGAGAGCAGTTCCCTTTTGGGTGGAACATTGTTCTATAAACTAATTACACGGCACCAATACGACTGTCCACTAAGACAACCACATAGCCGTTTTTGAGACAAGGATAACTCTATCACTGATCCATCGAGTGATAGCAATTAACATCCGCGTCGGATAACCGACTGTATCACTTGGGATAAGTACAGTCGGTACCTTTTGAGTAAATACTCAACAAACATTGGCGAATCAAGGGGTCCAGCCGGCCTCCGCCGCCTGGTACCTCTACTACTCAAACAGAAGTGACAGGGACTAAGTAACATCAATGTAAACTTATAGTCACTCCCTAAAACTTGGTTCGAAATCTAAAAGGTTTTTTAATAGACTGCCTGTTTCTTAAACAGGAGCATTCAAACCCCTGTTCTTACTTAGTTATCGCATCTTGAGTAAATAACCAACAAAATTTGGTGAATCAAGGGGACTAGCCGGCCTATGCCGCTTGGTGCCTCTACTACTCAAGCATAAACATGACGGATAAGTAGCCTCCAAGATTACCCATAATCACTCTCACACTTAGCCAGGATTCAAAGGTATGACGAGACCGCCTGCCTAAAGGTGAACCAAAGCTCTCAGACCCCAACCCCGCTAAGATATCCTCTCTTCAAACCAGACATGTTTGAGGAATTGGTTCACAGTTCGACTGCTTTTTGAAAAGCGAGAACTCAAGAACTTTTTCTACTTTCCTTAAGTTAAACAAACCTAACGTATTCACCAAAATATGTTGGGGTCCGACTGAATAAATGGCCGACTGATCGCCTAACTTGGAACTAAGACATCCAGTCGTCCAGGGGCATAGACAGCCCGTACATTATACCTGTGCGCAATTATCGGCCATACAAAACAGTCGGTATGACATGCAAGCGGATATTGAAGATCCTCGACACTTAGCAAAAATAAAGCAAAATTCGAAATCTTATTGAGCTAAGACGCCCAAAAAGATGGTCGCCGAAATCATATAAATAGCCGGCCATATAGACCGGCAAAAATATTCAAGACCCCGGCCCCCCGCCCGGGTAAAGAGATACAAAAGCAAACGGCACGCAGGCCGAAGAAAAGTTGAGCACAAAAAGCTTCAGAGCTAAGGTAGGGTTTCGGTATTGCCGGCCGCCTGATCAACAAGAGGCGCCTGGTTCTGAGAGGCCTCATTCTTGCTTGTTTCGGCATCAGGGGCTGCTTCTCTAGACGCACCTTCCCCAATCGGCTGCAGGGCCACCTCCACCTCTTCCGCTTCTTCTGAGCTGGACTTGGTCGCCTGGTCCTCTTCAGCTGCCTGCTCCATGATTTGCCGGTTGTACTGTTCAGTACAAGCAGCGAACTTCTTCTCCCAGGCGGCATAATGAGCTTTTGGGAAAAGAGTCATCCAAGTCATCCTCATGATTTGAGCCGAGTCCTCCATCATGGCTTAGGCTAGCTCCATTTTCTCCTTTTCGGCCTTGGCCGAGAGCTCATCGGTGAGGCTCTTCTCCTGCTGAACCAGGTGCTCTTTGACATTGGTTAAGGATTTCTCCATGGACTCGAAGTGAGTCATCTTCTGCCTAAGCGGCTTCAGCTCATTTTGGAGACTCTTGACTGTCACCTCCAACTCATTGTTCTTCTTTTTGGCCGCCTCCAACTCGGTACGAATATTGGCAGTGGCCTGCGCCTGATAATAAAGAATATCAGTTGTCAAAAATTCATTTTGGGCAATTTGAAACATTGCCTTATCTACGTCAGAGGCGGCCATACCTTTAGCAGCCTTTACCTCTTTGTTTTTGGCGTTGATCGGCCTGCGAAGGCCGTGTACTCTTAACATGGTCTGAAAATAGGGAAAACAGGCGTTAGAAAAAGCAAGCGGCATGCAAAGTAATGAAATTGAAAAAAAATTTAAGTCTACCTCAGACAGGAGACCCATGATGCCGTCTAGGTCCAGGGTGCCGACTCCCTTCACCGCGTCCCTCTTTTCTTGAGGACGGCTTTAATCATGGACTTGGCCATGTTGACCAAGTCAGGTTCTGAGGGGCCGCCTGCATCAGAAACAAAAAACATCAGAAATATGAAGAAAGTGATAAAGAAATAAGCAAGTCTAGCAGAGTGAGCTATACTTCTTGGTGGCCGAGTCAGAACGAGTCGTGGGTTCCCCACACTTTGTGGGGTGGCCGGCTGCTTGTCAGCCGATTGTTTCTTGGCCGACCCGGGCGTACTCCCACCAGTCAGCTTCCGAACCTTTGAGTCCGGTTGGTGGGAGGAAGAGGGTTTGGAAGTGCCCGTCTACAAAAGAGACGAGTGGTCAATAGTTGTTAAAACAGTCTAATAAAGACAAGTTCTGAGGATCGAAACTCACGGTGGGCGTCTCCTTGGCAGGAGAGTTAGAAGCGGTCTGCTTCTATTGCATTATGGAGGCTCGCAGCAAAGCGTCCGCCTTCTTTGAAGCAGATATCTGGTCCATGGCTTCAGCTACAAATAAGAACCACAAAAGTTAGAAAAAATTTCAAACAAATCAAAACGAAGAGTGCATATTTTCAAGTGACTGGCTACCTTTGGAGGACCGACTACTAAAGCCGCAAGCGGCCAGGAAAAACTCTTCATAGAGCCATTGAAACTCTGGGACGCAGTTTAGGGGCACCTGCTCTCGTGCCCTAGTGGTAGAGTTTTCCCTAATCTCTACCTTGAACAACCCTCAGTCCAGGATCTCTTCCCTGGCCTTGAGAGGAACGCGCGGCATGCTGCGACCGCCTGCTAGAAGAGGTGGATCCTTGTTCCACCTATTGTAGCGTTTGTTCAGCAGGCGATCGGGGCTGGAAATGATAAGGAAGGTGTTTCTCCAATCCTTCCATTTGTTCTCTTTGCCCCTGGTCATAAGGTAGCCTTTGTGGCTTGTTAATTGGTACCAGCCGGTACCGCTTGCTTTGGGGGTCCGGCTGAGGTAGTTCATGTGAGCAAACGCCTCGAAATTCGGCTCCACCCCGTGCATTTCACATCCGGCTACATAGCCCAGGATGTTGAACCAGGAGTTCAGGGCCAGTTGCCAAAGCCCCACCTCTAACCCATCGAGGATTTGTTGAACAGCCGGATGCAGAGGAAATCGTAATCTAGCTTTGATGGCCGCTTTGTAACAGCCAAAACAAGCGTCCCCATAGCTGGTGCCCTCTGGCCAGACGACTGTGTCCTCGCCGTCCGGCACGAATAATTGATAATTCGGACCCATCGTATGGTCCGAAAGAAAAGTCGGCATTCGCTCATTCATGGCCTTGATTCGGCCCTTGGGTACATGGCAGTAATACGGAGTGTTCAACTCCCTATGAGAGGCGGATGGTTCTGACCAGCCTTCCCCCTTTTCAGCCGCACGAGAATCTCATGCCTCATGCAAGCGATTGTGCCTCTCTTCTGAGCTTATAGGGAGGCGGCTCGACGAGCTAGAGCCGGACTCACTATCAGAAGAGTCCGATTCTTCCCCATTTCCTGAAGGGGCCGACCCCTCTTCTTCTTCGGGGGTCATCTGCCGACTGGCCAGGTCAACAGTAAAATGGGAAGGAACTATCTTAGCTCCCTCCTCAGAGCTCTCGACAGAAGGGCCGCCTTGGGTCCCTGCGGTATCAGGCGGCTGGTCCAATGTTTCACTAATCGGAACCCGGAAAGAGGAGCCATCAAAGTTTTCTATTCTCTTGGTTTTCTTTGTTCTTGCCATACTGTCTAGCATAGATACAAAGACAGTTGGATTCCGGGACTTGCGCAAAGTTTGAAGTACCGCAGGGAAGTCTGCACCCCCTAGTCCTAGACTCAGCCGTCCCCGATGACCGGCTGATTGCTAACCTAGGCCGTGCCAGATGCTTTTAAGGTCTTATTTTCAAAAAAGAAAGAAAAAAGTGCAAAAGCAAGAAGAATAGAGGAACAGACGGTTACCCGAAACTTAAGTTCTGGAAGGCTAGATCGAAGTAGGTGCCTAGTAAAACAGTCGTCCTAGCAGGTCAGAATTTGCCAAGTGTCAGAGCTCAAGTTCAGGGGTCCGAGAGTTCTCTTGAAAAAGTTCGCAAATGTGAACAAATGACTTGGTTAACATCCCATTATATAGGGCAAAAGAGAAGTCGAAGGGTCATCTCCCAAAATTCAAAATTGAGCGGGAAAAACTTTCGGTCATCCACCAAGCGACACCTGTAGCGGACATCGCCTGTTACAGGCCGACACCTATCACAGGTGACATACGAACAGTCATATGCCACATGTCCGCCACATGGGCCAATAGGAGCCTGCCACGTGTCAGGCATTGATCTGTCCACCATGGACTAGTTACGACACAACACGTGTCTTTCCCTATGCCAACTAGGCAAAACGGCCACCTAGGCCCAATCCTTGGAAAAAGCCCAGTCAGCCCTAGGTTTAACCTAAACCTAGCATTTCGCACGCATCCCAAGGCATATAATTATGATCATTAATCCTCATTAAAGGGGATTACGTTCATTAATTACTCTCACCTAGAGAAAACACTCTACCTTTTCCCGCATTAATTACTCCTTAAACAAGTACTAACTTGACCGTTGGAGGCGGAGCTCCTACCACCCGGAGTCTCCGTTGTTTTGCAGGTACAAGCGCCCGGTTCCAGTCTCGGAGTTGTAATTGTGGCCTATACGTGATGAGATTCATGTTTGACATAGTGAGTCATTGTACAGACACACAACAGCTTAAAGAGGTATGCCAGTTTGGTTGAAATAACGTTCCAAAACGCCTTAATTGCTCTTTTCTTGTAATTTCAAGCCTTAGTCACCAATAACTAAGTGATAAAGACATGTTATGACTATTTATGAGTTCACTAGACAAGAAATGTAGGAAATAGGCATCCTAGTAGTCAAAATGGCCTTACTCGGGCCATTTTGGTTGAAGATGCGTTCTAAAACCCCTTAATTGCTATTTTCTTATAAATTTAAGCCTTGGCCATCTATAAATAAGTGATAAAGACATGTTATGACTATTTATAAGTTCACTCCTACTAACTTACGTTTTGTGTATGTATTCCAAGTTTTGCAAGGGACAAACGGGAAATCCGTTCACGAGCGAGGAACTCAATGTAATTCGAGACATATTGGCGGCCTACATCACATTTAATTTGTAAATATCATTTATTTATGTTTTAACTAGCTTAGTGTACTACCTTATTACTAATTAATTATGTTTGTAGTTATGACGCTTTTTTCTAATTAATATCATATTTTGGGATTGTTATCAATATTTATGTCCTTTTTATTATTTTCAATTATTATTACTTTTAATATATTAATAACACTAATTATTATTAATATTATAATAATAATAATTATTATTATTATTAATATTAATATAATAATAATAATTATTATTATTATTATTATTATTATTATTATTAAAATTAATAATAATAATAATTATTATTATTATTATTAAAATTAATAATAATAATAATTATTATTATTATTATTATTAATTATCGGTATTATGTACATGATCTCATTATTATTATATTTATTAGTATTAATATTAATATATATTATTGCCCGAAAAAAAAAAACAAGCTAAAGGCACCGTTCATGCTTGAAACCGGTGCCTATTACATTGAATTTAATAAAAAAAAACTGGTGCCATTAAAGTTGGCACCGATTAACCGGTGCCTACTAAAACATTTGGCACCGGTTAACCGGTGCCAACTAAGGCAATTAGTAATATTAATATATTAGTTGGCACTGGTTAACCGGTGCCAAACGCTTTAGTTGGCACTGGTTTTGAACCGGTGCCAAATTTTTGAGGATTTGACATCCCTCAAATCCCCAACGGTTCAAAACCGGTGCCTTAGGGGGGTTTGAACCGGTGCCAAATTAGGATTTTCGTCTAGTGAAAACTTAGCATTAAAACATTGCTCGTTTAAAAACTTGATATGGCCAATGGCCACCTGTTACTAAACGTTTACCCGTCTGCTCTAACAAGGGAAAGACATCCGGTGACGCCCATCTGGGTGAATTTGTCGCAGAGAGCATCTCCCATCCGGGTGGCACATTGCTCTATAAACTCAAACACAAGCGGCAGCGACTGATTAACCCAATAAGGGCTAATTCACAGCCGTTTGACCTGAATAATCTATAATGGAACCTAAACGACATAAACAAAATCGCATGTCTTATTGACACCAACCGGTAACCGGCCGTCATTCTAAGTTAAATTAATATCTCATGATAATTGAGTCAGCTAAGAAATTCCCACAACGGGGCAAAGGCACTTTAAGTCGCTTGTTCCAATACAGACGATCCAAGATCAGAGCCCCTGGCAATATTGATACGGTCAACGATCATCTGATACTCTATTCGGATGCTTAATGGACGACTGTCCGCTTGATTTAGTGTAATCAACCCACATTGAAACCAAGCGCACATCCGTCCAGGGGCAAGTACATCTGGTATACCGCATGTTCTACGCACTTAGCAAAATTGATACCAAAAAAAATGCAAGGAAAACCGACCCAATGGCCGGCTTTTTCATATAAAACGGACCCCATGGTCGATTAAAAGAAAGTGTTAATCGATTTTACAATCGGTGAGAAAAAGATATTGTTAACCAAACCCGACTCCTCAGCCGGTAAAGATACATATATACTCGGCACGCAAGCCGGAAGAGTAATGGTCAGGCCATTCGGCCAAAGAGATTTATATTTGATCTGGAGGGGAGGACTCTTCTACATTCTCATCCAGCTTTTCACCAGCATCATCCGGATGACCCTCATCCTGCTTAAAGTCCTCATTTTCAGCCATGTCCTTGTCATCAGCTCTGCCATTTTTCTTTGCCTGCAGCCGCTCCTTGTCAAGCTCTTCAATGGCTTGCTCAAAACGATACTCCCAAATGGAGTAATCGTCGTCAGGATGCAAAGCCTTCCAAGCCATTTTCATCCGGATGGCACAGTCGGCTTCGTTCTCCTCGACCAACTGACTCTTTTCCTCCTCGGCCCTGGCTTGGAACTTCTTCCCAGTTATTCCACCTGGTTGGCGAGTTTTCTTTTCAAATTCTCGTTCAGGCGGTGGAGGCTGTTTATTTCCCTGCTGTCATCCTCGTGCTTATCAAGCTCATCCTTGGTTGACTTCAGCTAGCCCTCAAGATCAAATACCAGCCCCCTCTAGCTGCTGCTTGACCTAAATGTTGGCCTCCGCCTGAGAATGTAGGATATCATGAGTCATTGCTTCATTTTTTAATATGTCAAACATGGCTTGATCAAGAGCAGATGCGGCCCTTTCTTTGGCACTATTTACCGCTTTTTGTTTGTCTGCAAACGGCTTTTTGAGCCCGTTCACCCGCAGCATAGCCTACATCCGGCAAAGAAGATCATCAATACAAACGGCATGAGAGGGGTTAGAAATATTTTCTAACTTAAAAACAGGTTACCTTAGCTAGAAGCGCCAAAATGGCATCAAAGTTGAGGGTGCCAACCCCCCTCACAAAATCCCGCTCCTTAGCAGAAACGGCCTTCAGCATGTTCTTAGCGAACTGCTGTATATCCGGCCTTTAAGTAGCATCTGCACATTCAACACTTGGTCAGAAGTTGACATAATCCCGGCCTGTAGACCGGGTGTCTTCAGAGCTGTTGGGCGACTGCTGATAAGACTTCACCCTAGTAGGGTAAGGTAATGGATTGAAGACATTGATACCTGGGAGCTCAACCTCCAAGTCCTTAAGACGCTTGTCTTTGCGTCTGCCTGCGACATGCCCGCCTGTTGCTGCTGAGCCAACAGCAATGGTGAGTGGCTGGCCACTCTTCGATGCCCAAGGAGCGTCCGATTTTTTAAGGGCTCCGAGAGAAGCAAGCGGCTTGCAGACAATGGAGGGGTGAGAATCATCCTCAGTCCTGGCAGCAGAAGGATTTTTCTGCACCACGGATTTCCTTGATTTAGAGGGAATCAAATCCTCTTCAGCAAACGGACGCTTCAGGGGCTTATTGACAAAGGCAGGCAGCCTCGTTGATCCTTCCTGAAAATCAAGATAAGTCGTCAAATTCAAGACAATAAGGTCCGCCTAACAGTGACAATTGTAGAATACTTACATGTTCCAGCCGATCTTTTTTGAAGATCTGGTTTTTCTACCGGATCACTTGGCAATAGGCGGCAGCACAGCTCGCAGGTTTCTTGCTCGGATACAGCTGCGACATTGCTTCTTCTGCAAAAAAGGTTGGATGAGCGTCAGTAAGAATTAACAAAGAATTAATATATATTGCTAGGCGTTTCCATCCGGCCAGCTACCTTTTGTTTTTTCTGTGCTAAGACCGTAGGTGGCTAAATAAAAAAGGCCCCTTGACCACTAAAACCTAGGGATGTAACTAAGGGGAATTATCTCCCTTTCGTTCCCTCCCTTTAAGGTTTTGGTGGAAACCTTGAATAAGTCAGGCGTCAAAATTTGATCCCAGCCTTTATCAGGAACAGGCGGGAGAATCACCTTCTGGCCTAGAAGGTACGGGTTCTTGTTCCAAGTGTTATACTTTCAGTTCCGCCTGGTATCTGGCAAAGAGATGATGTAGAAACGGCTTCGTTAGTCCTTCCATTTTGATTCTTTGCCCAGGGTCATCATGAACCCTTTGTGACAAGTTAGGGTGTACCACCCAGGGCCAGCTGCCTTAGGAGCCTTGCTCAAATAATGCATTGAAGCAAAGGCCTCAAAGCCCGGTTTCACCCTCTGCATCTTACAGGCGGCGATGTACGCTAGAATGTTCGCCCAAGAGTTAGGGGCGAGCTGCCAAATACCCAAGCGGTATTTGTCCAGGATTTTCTCAACGTCTTTATCCAGCGGGAATCTCAAGCCCGCCTGTATCGCAGCTTCATTACAGCCGAAGCATTAATCCCTATAACTTTGATTGAATGGCCAGACGACTGTATAGTCCGAGTCAAGGACATGAATCTCATATCCAACCCCATGACATAGGTGTCTCGGAATTCCTCAAGTTTTTTCAGCATATTTCTCCGAGTCCCAACAGAGACATGGGTGAAGTAAGGGGTGAATTCATTTTGAGCAAAGGAATAAGCTTCCCCTTGTCCTCTTTTAGGAGAGGCGCCCTTCTCCTTAGAGTCAAAGAAAGACTTAGAGCTTTCTAACTCTTCATGGGACACAGGCAGCACAGTTCTATCTTCAAAATCGCCTAAAACAACATCCGACTGGGATGACCCTTGTTCAGAGCTGGATGCACTATCATCAGCCCCATCATCTAACTCGTTCAAAATGGAGTCAACCGGCATGCTAGGAGTGCCGGGTGAGTGATCAAAAACCTCATCTCTTGGCACCCTAATAGAGTTGGCATCTTCCTTATTAATAGGGCCATGGGCCGTCTTTTTAGTTCTGACCATAGTGTCCTGCACAAACATAGAGATGGTCAGATTCGGGGATGTTTGCAGAAGGGAGTCCAAGTGAGGGCAGGCGGCACTCCTAGTCCTAGATTCAGCCATTCCTGGTGACCGACTGATAGCTACCCTAGGTCGTGCCATGCGTGTTTGTGAAACCATTTTGAAAAACAAGGAATAACAACCACACAAACGAAAAATTAAAGAACAAGTAAGAAATGAAGCAGGTGGTTACCTTGTATTAAAGGTACTGAAGCAACCTCTTGGGACGTCTGTAATGCAGGCGGATCGGACTCAAGCGGCAATAAACAAATTCTCTCAAAAGTCAAAGATTCTCTATCTGAATTTCTCGTGAATATGCAAAAATGAGGGGATAAAGACATATATAGAGAGGGGTAAAAATCTCAGGGGCAACCCTGAAATTTACACCAGAAGGTAAACAGTAAAAATTTTGTCCACCCATGCATGCGTGACACTTGTCATAGGCGTCACGTGGCGCGCCACGTCACCCTTGTGAGGGGTAAATGATTTGGGAATTTTTACCCCGCCACGTTGACCAACCAAAGCGTGACACGTGTCACCCTAGGTAGATCCCAAAGTGGACCTACCAGGGCTAGACACGTGGCAGGCAGATACTCCATATGGAGTTAGCGGCCTTCAAGGCCCAATTCCTTAGACTGCCCTAAAATGGTGCAGCCCGTTAGTCCTAGGTTTCCATAACTTAGGATGAGGGCACGAATCCCAACGATCCTATAAATAGGGAGATTTTCCTCACCTTGAAAACAACGTAATTCAATGATTACAACATAATCAATTCTCTCGAAAACAGAGAAAACACCTGATCTTAGAATCGGAGAAGATCTCACTTTACTTTTCGTACCTTTTTACATTCTCCGTACACGTTCTAACTTGATCGTCGGAGGCGGAACTCCACCCAACCGGAGTCTCCTTTGTTTTGCAGGTACAGGCGCCCGAAAACCAGACTTAGTGTCGTAACTCTCCCGAGAGACACAGAAAACCCCAAAACAATTATAATAATAATAATAATGATAATGATGATGATGATGATGATAATTCGATGATGATAATAATAATAATAATAATAATAATAATAATAATAATAATAATAATAATAATAATAATAATAATAATAATAGTAATAGTAATAATAATAATGCGATAATAATAATAATAATAATAATAATAATAATAATAATAATAATAATAATAATAATAATAATAATAATAATAAAATCTGCTCTGCTCTGATCTGCCCTGCTCTACTCTACCCTCCTTTGTTCTACTCTGCTAAAATCTTATCTACTTTACTGAAATCAGCTCTACTTTACTCCGCTCTTCTTCGCCCTGCTTGTCTTCTCTGCTCTGCCTAGAAGCTCAAAAGAATAGAGGCTAAGGCAATTATCAAAGACACACAGCGGAAGACTCACTTTTAAAACCATTCTAAACAAGTCAAATTAAAAAGTCAAACCAAACGAAAGTAAAGTAAATCAAAGTCAAATAAAGTCAACCTACAACTTGGAACCATTTTAGGCCCTTTTCAAAACCCAAACGAATGATAAAACCTTTTTGTTAGTCTCACAAGCAATTATATATAAGAAGCAAAGCAAATAAAACACATCATATTCTTTTGAAAACTAAACATGATTCACTCTTCACTCATACCCATCATGAATATACTCCATCACCTGAAAAGCTTCTCTTTATTACTTTGTCCCCACTACTCGCCATTAGAAATGGGTCATCGTAGGGCCAAGATAAAGATAAGGCCAAACAAACATACAAACACACAACCAGCAATTCTGAGTACATAAGCGTAAACAGTACACACTACCATGCTTTCATCCTATCAACACACAACTTACCTTGTTGCACCTGTTTAGAAACATACAACATACAACACAACCAACCAATAAATAAATAAATTGCTTAGTTTATTTAATTACGCATCAAATGGGTTTACCCCTTAACCTGCCCTAATAAAGGGGTACTAACACGGGAGCTAATCGTGCCATTATACAATAACCACTCATAAGTGGCGGAATTCATGCGCATAATAATAAAAAGGAAAATACAACGTCCTGTACTCATAGTAGAAGCTATGGTTGAATATAAAACCCCATAACTCCCCCCATATGTTCATACTCAAGGTATATACGTTCCAAGAATTTTGGTGCGTAGTCTCTTTCAATTTACGTTGTTTACATATTTTAGACTTGGTGATGACTCTCAATCCATAAAACAATCAATCATCATAAATCATTCAAGCAATCAACCATACCAATTTAATTCTTGAATAATTAGTGACCACATTAATTTAGTGTTGAACCCTTTTTAAACTATCTCGGCGTTAAATAACACCTTAAGCGCATAATGCACTACAAATCCTATCTCTTGGTGTTTAGAACACCTTAAGCGCACTTACGCACCAAAATATAAATTAATCCTCATGTACATAGACACTTAAACAGCTTCTTTTTCATGCTTATAGCATCAATAAAAATTATATGAACCATCATAAAATTCCCTTTTAACATTCCAAACTC